CACGATAAGTGTCCGAAATTTGAAGCAATCGACTTTATATTTGGCACATATATGCAGCTTTGCCACGTGACGGGACCTATTGAAAATGGGGGGGGGGGGGGGGGGCTGAAAGAATTTACTTTAGGTTATAGAAGAACACAGGTTCAATTAAATAACAGTCACGTGGAATCCAAAAAACAAAATTAATATGGCCTTACTGACATAAGTAGCCTAAACTTACCTCCATAAAGGTCATCCATTGAAAAAAGCTATTTAATTATCGTGGCCACAAAACACTAATCCGAACTTGTACTGTTTTTTTAAATATTTCTGCAAGAAATCGAAGGCGTAACACGGTTGCTCATATTCGGACGCTGTTTACGGTTACCATGGAGATGATGTTGCAAAGCCTACTTGTGTAATGTAGTAAGTAAAATTTGGAATTTTTCAAACGTTTTTGGAGTCATTCTGGGCCACCGTGGCCGCCGTCCCTGTCGGCGCGTCGATATTTCCTCGGACTCACCCCTTTGGCATCGCTAAAAGACGTAATTATAATATTTCGACACCCTAATAAGCGCGGCCGAAGACGGGCGCGAGCAGGACAGAGATGGAAGTGACTCACGCAAAAGTAAATTATACATTGAAAAGGCTTTAATATAATGAATTCATTCATATGCATGAGGCCGAGTAGAATGCCGGCGTCGTCGCTTCAGCAATATTTGGTGGCGTAATGAAATGAATTTATGCAGGGCTGTAATGCCTGAATATTTAGCATACAGCCCTACCGCCAGAAACATCGAACAGTGTGTCACCACCCTTTCCGCGATCGTCCCCCTGTCGGCAACCACGTGCCGGTCGGCGAGGCGGATTTATTAATTGAATCGTCAATTTCGTTTTCTGTAATTTACGGAAAAGACGGAACGCATAATTGACAAAGTGGGTTAGTATCTACGCACGTCAATTGTTTCGTCGCCTTAATCGTAGCATAAAGTTATTGGTCAGTTGGGCGACCTTAGCGCCATCTGGTATTGTGGGTGGTATTTGAATGATCAATGTCGAATCACATCCAAAACAATAGAGTGACGAATTTGTTTTATATAGCTAGCGGTAGGGACTGCAATCTGCATTTGTTGTGCGTGTTCTCTATTAAAAATTATTCGAAATATTAAATCTACAGTTTGTTTGTCTATGTGATTTTAAGTTTAAACTCATTAATAATAATAATAATAATAATAATAATAATAATAATAATAATAATAATAATAATAATAATAATAATAATAATAATAATAATAATGAGTAAGATAGAAGTCATTCCTGTCTATTCGTAACATAAGTCAAAGCATGAAATAATTATTAAAAATAAAAGGCATGAAATAATTATTAAAAATAAAAGGTGAAGTGTTATTGAGTTGTGTTTTTTAGTTAATATTTAAGTAATTTAATTTTTAATTGTAATAATAATATTTTCTGTGATTTAAAGTGGGCCTAGTGAATTATGAAACTGTGTGATTAAAAAATTAGTTTTGGTTAGTTAGTTAATCATAAAAATGATTTTGGTGTCGATGCTGATTGGCCTTTGTTCGCTACATCTCATGGCAAACGAGCGTGTGATGGCTTAGCAGGGAGTGTAAAAAGACAAGCTTATCGTGCTAGTCTCCAACGTGATAAAAACAGCCACGTAACAACCCTTCTTTCCTTTTTTCAGTAAGGCCCAAATTTCGATTCGAACGTTTATCTACAATAAAACAATACTCGTCAATTTCATTATTACAAACCATTGGAAAATTTTTCACTAGAATGTTCGTTTCAGAGGAAGAAAAACTATTTATTAAAAAAAAAATAAGTTAAAAAAAAAATGACGACAAATTTACATTTTAATTATTTAAGCTTGTTTGTTCTACTCAGTATGTTATGATTGTTAATATTGCTAAAAAAAATAAAATTTTATTAATAATAATAATAATAAAATAACATAAATAATCAAATTTGTTTTATAATAATATTTTGTATTATTATTTTAAATTATTACTGATAAATTCATTCTGTTTAAACTAAACTACCAAGAAATCAATTAAATTTTCATTTGTTAACTTAGTTAGTTAACAATACGAAAATAAACAAACAATTTTAATTCGTTAATATATTCTTAAAGTGTAGACATTTTACCATGGATGCTGAAATTTTCATAAATTTATCTCTTACGGTTAATTTTTAATCCATTTTTCAATTAAAAGTACTTAAAATTTTCATTATAAAAAAATTGTTAGAATCTAAATTATCAAAAATCGTTTGAGGGATCAATTTTCCATCATAAGTACTTATATATAAAATATATATAAGTTAATATATATATTAATTATATAAATTAATTTTTTGTGATCAAGTCGTAAATAGGGAGTCCACTTGACGTGATCTTACTCAGTAATAAATAACCTTATATTCCTTATATATTATATATTCCCCCCAGCAATTGATTATCTTGTGAACGATATGAGGTAAGTCATCGGGTGTTTTCTATTATTTGATTTCTTCCACTTAAAACCTTTCTACGTATTTTAATAGTGGTTTTTTGGGTTCTTTTCGTTTTTTAAGCAAAGTCTCCATTGTCAAATATCAGTTTTTGGCACACACGCCGTAGATATTTCGTTCTCTTAAGTAATTTGCAATTTTTGCTTTTACCACTCAGTGCTTTTGAGACATTGGGTAGGTAAACGATTCATCCATCTCTATTCTTGTTTTACATTTAACAACGGAGTACCCCAGGGTAGTATTTTAGGCTCACTTCTGGTTTCGATTTTTACATCCAGATATACATCAATATAGTTTTGTGTCTTTTATTGTATTTTTCTATTTCAGAGAACTGCCTTAACGAAGCCAGTAACATTATTAATTCTGCTTTTTACAAAACTTCTGGATTCCTCATGCGTCGGTTTTAAATGCGGATCTTGTCCTAAAATTTATATTGGACAAACACGTAGATCCTTCAAGAAACGCATTAACGAACATAAAAGAGCGTTTAAAAACAATATTCTAGATTCTAATTATGTTACCCACATAAACACAAAAAACACATTTTTGACGACAATTTTGATATTGTACATACAGCCACAAAAAGTAGAAAATTAAATTTATTGGAAGCCATGGAGATTAACAAAATGAGACATTCAAATGTATTGCTTAACGATCAATTAAACTTATTTTTTTTTTTTGGAGGGTGCTAAAAAAATCTTCAAAAGACGATACTAGCCTGGTGTTTAATTGGCTAGCCTTGTGTCGGATTCAGACACCACACAGAGTGTGGTGTTGCCGCCTACCGACTAAAAAAACCCACCCTATCTACCACGCAGGCACCTTTGTACCGGAAACCGCTTACGCATTACTTCGGTACAAGGGCCGGTCCCAGGTTCTCCACCTATGTACTACGGTTTGACCTAATATCTCTCTCCTTGGTCTCGATAATTTTCCGAATCACTCTGTACGCCTCCCTCCAGGTATTTTCTTCACCCATCAGGCTTGCCATCGTGTTGCGCGGGTTGAAGTTGGTACCTGTTGTACATGAGTACATAGTTCTTTGTTCCTTCCACCTGTGGCAGTGAAACAGTGTGTGCTCCACGTCGTCCAACAGGCCGCAGTACTTAAACTTAAACTTAAATACCTCTCCATTATTAAACTTAGATTCTCACAACAATATTAATTAAGGTTTTATGTTCATTTTTTGGTATATATAGTAGCAGGTAGTTTGTAAATATTACATTTGATAAAGACACGGTGTGTGACACACACCGTCATGTGAATATGTATATATCATTTCGTGAAAATCTGAACTTTTAGTTCTTATTTATTCAGCAAGATCTCATTTCATTATTAAATCTTTACGTAGATACTTCTTTTTCCCTAATTCCCTTCCATTCCCACGCCAAGCATTGACTGTTTCTATGATTTTGTTAATTTTTTGCTAAATTTTGGGCTATATTGGAACTGCTACCGCCAGAAAATAATCCTTCGTCTACAAGTAGTAGTAGCGTTATGTCAAGTGCATTCTTTTCTTCCCAGTATTCTGTTATTATATTTTCTGTATGTGTTATATACAACTGATCCAATTTTACTTGGGACTGTCTTCCAAAAAAAAATATTGTGCTCTGAGTCTATGGCATTAAAATCTTAAAACTAGATGACTCACTTCGGCATTATTATGTTTTGCATTTGTAAATTTTAGCGACTCACATTTTAGACCATTTTTTGTGTAATTAATCCGCTTAATGCGCAGCCAATTGTCTATGAATTCAATGCATAATAATTAAAGACAGATTTTCAAAAATGCGGTCCTGCTTGCTGGGGGAAACTACCGTAATTATTATGGCGTTCTCAGTATACGAGTAGAAGCTTTTGGTTTTATGACCGACTATGCCATCGCAAATCGTACGGACTATATTAGCTGTGATTGCTGATTACACCTTCCCGCCATCTTGTAAAAGTTTATCTCAATCGATCAATGTAAATCTTGACGAATTTATTTTGGAAGACACATAACCAAAACCCGGATTGACTGTTATAAATAAACGACAATGATTTTTTTTTAATTTATGTCCCTCTGACGTTATACCAGAAAAGTAATGCACCAACCACCAACCAGCCAACAGCTAATAGCTGCATGGCGTATGCCAATGCCACAGAACGCTTATGTAGTCTGTGACAATAACCATAGAAAAGAGACGCCGCATATTCCGAGTTCAAACCCCACAGCGATTGGAAGGGGGGGGAGTTTACAATTCTCTATAAAATATTATAATTAGAACCTCCCGGAGAGGGGATAAAGTCCGTTGAAGAGACGTAGGGAAGGAAGGTTCGAACAGGGCCCCCGCTTATTCTCGAGAATGGATGAACGCCGGGCTTAACAATCGGATTGTGTAGGTTGTGAAAGAGCAAATTATGCTAATGCTCGGCAGCGCGTAGCGAGCCCCTCTCCGAGTTTTGATTTGGGAATCGGGTCTCGGAAAACCATATCCGATCCGTTCCGAATTGAAAACTTTTATTGTTTAATCTAAACATTCGACGGGGTCGGCGTTAACCGGCGCTGTTGGTGGCCTTGCGTTTCCTTTTGCCGCCTCCGGCGGCGGCGACCTCTGCCGGCTTGTTTTCCGCTATGATCTGGGCCTTGCGTTGGACGAAGTCCGCCTGGAATGAAGAGGTTCATTACGTGGTTCGTCGTTTTTCCGCGACGCACCCACCAGAGAATCATTTCTTCGCACGAGGAGCTTCACGTCGTCCACCGTGACCTGTGACCTCCTCGCGTGTCTAAAAAATGAAAAAAAAATTGTAACCCAGGAAAGGTAAAGCCGGCAGCTGCTGCTATGACGTCACCTGGCCTGCGAAAAAGATTTTCTCAAACATTTATACATTTTACTATTGAATTGGAAACTAATAATCATATAATAATAATCATTCTGAGATATAGTCTGTTCATAGATATAAGAATGTGACTAACTGATATGAATTAAGGAAAGACCCGGGCAAGCTGTAAGAATGAAATATGGCCGAACAGGTCCGTACCTTGCTTAGAATTTAATTATTTGGTGTTTTGTTAGGAAATATACTAAACAATATTTATTTATTTATGTATGTATTTATTTTTAAATCTAAAATAACATTACAAATTATTTTTATTACCTACTTAAATTACTTAAAATTATTCCCATAATAATACAGTATCACTATCGCTATCATCGCCTGTTCTAATTATTATTTGTTCTATATTATTTGCAATATGGATATACGATTGTTCTGCCTTTTTCTATATGTTTAACAAAATTTTCCCAACTTGTGGAGGGATGTTAAAAACTTCGGTTTCTATAAGTTTGAGGGCATTGGAATTAACAAGGGGAAAGACATTTTTACGACGAATGGTAGATTTCAATTGGTGTTCAATGGGATTAAATATACAGTGATAAGGTGGAAGAATTAAAACTGTATGAAATAGATTTTTTGCATAATTATTACAGACGTGTTCCTATTGTAGGTTTAAGCTTGGTATAATCTTCGTGAAAATAAATGTTTGGAACTGGTTTGTTTTTAAACCAAACTTCATGTCTGGTGTCTTCATGGTAATCCAGAGAAGAATCTTTAATATTTTTCGAAAACAGAGAAAGTCCATTTGGAATCCAAATATCTTTAGAGCCAGCATGCAAAATAGTTATTCTTTTACTTCTTTTTGATGGCGCGTTTGTTTTACACTTATCAGTTGAGTCAACCCAACCCTTTTCTGGGGTATCCTAAGTGTAGAACCAGGTTTCATCCAAGTAAATAATTGGCCTTTGTTGTTCTATGTAAATACCTTTTTTTTAGATATTCCAATCGAAATTTTCGAATTCTACAAGATTCCATTAACACTTGTCTTTTTTCAATTTTTTATCTAAAACCCATGCGTTGAATACACTTCCATAAGGTAATTCTACCACATTTAACACCGGTTTCATCTTTTTCAAGCCTCCTAATTAAGATATCTAATGTAGGCACGCTTTGTTCCTCGTATAACTGGTAAATTTTACTCCGTATTATACCTTGACCACTTTCATCTACACTCGAGGAAATGTCAGCATCGCTTCTTTTTTTCCTCGCTGAAATGGGATTATTCACAAGCATACTTCAAGGAACAAGCAAGATTATTAAGTCATTATTAAAATTAAAAAAAGATCAGTTATTCAAAAACACTGATCCAATAGGGAAAAATTAAAATCCCAATTCAAAATTACCCAACACTGACCAAATTTTGGTTCGAATAGGAAAACTGTACCATCAGAAAAATATGAAATTTATGACCTGACTTTTTTTTTAACTATACGTACTTTTGAAAAGCTTCTAAATCTTCCGCGTACAGACACAGCTTTTTGTAAACCATTTCCGCTATTAAATCAGAGGCGTTCGAGTCGATTGTCATGCCCAGGCCGGTGCACACTTCGCCGCAAATTTTCTTCGAGGTGTTTGTCACAGCTTGTTTAATTTTCTGAAAAGGAAAACGCAAAGTCCAGAGTATGTACAGCGCCCGTCGCTCTCTCTCGCCCAACATGGGAACCCGGCTGTGCAGAATGATCCCGCGACCAGAAACCTACGCGATAAGTTCAAGTTGTGGGCGATAGAGGGCGCCGCAGGCGCGTTATCGTTAAAATAAACCAATGCTTCAAAGTATTAAAAACTTGACACCCCCGCAATATTCCGGTTAAATTAAGTACTCACCTGTTCCGTATTCATAATAACAAAACTGTTTATAATACTTTGGGCAACGAACTTTAAAAATTAGCGAAATTAAAGCGACATTGTCACAACTCGAGAAGCAGCTGATGGACTAAAAAGAGCGGGAACACTTGTCCACGTTACTATTGCTACCATTCGACAGATGGCGCTCGAACAATTCTTCATCTTCGAACCTATTTTGATATAATTATTATTAATATTCATGTAAAAAAGAGTGGAACTTAAGAAGTTGCTTTTGTTCATTCACCAGCGATTATGTTTTAAGGGGCTTTGACTTATGCGTCCTTTATCTGTAAACGATGGTTTAACTAAAATATATTCTTTTCAACGAACTTCCGTTCTATACCGCCCCGTCAACACAAAAAATAATGCATCCTGCTTCCTCGGGTGTCTCTAGCTACCTGCTTAGTTATACCGCTATGTATAAATGGTCATTAGAGCCTCTTCCATGAGAAAATTCGATGCTGTTTTCGGCCAGGAAGTTGATAACGGCACTCCATTTTAAGGCAGACAAAAGCAAAAAACGCAACACATAGACAATTAGAAATTTCAGGAATATTTTTTGTGGTAAACAGGAGGCGATCGATGTATGAGTGGTCGGAGATAAATCACGCTGGGTAATAACATTGTAAATTATGTGCGTGTAAAACTTTATTGTCACTAAGTCATACTTTTCAAGCGCAAAGTGTCACTTTAAGAGGTCGTGCTAGTTTTCCACTCTAAAGTAGACCTCTAAAGAATGCTAAGCTGCTATTTACAAAAATTGAAGAAGCCGGCAGGAGGGATCCAGAAGATTTGTAGTAGCCTGTAGTCTATAAATAACGTCGATAGATAACAACCAAACATAGTTTTGAATACATTCATTTGCTACAAGTTTATATTTAATGTTATTTCTTACCCTCCAATTCCTAATTCTCACAAGTCAATATTCGTAATTATGAGGTAAAATAATTCAAAGTCAGTGTGAATGAATACTTAATAATATAAAAATAATTGTAAAATACGACAAAATGTATTCATATAGTTTGTGTTTCAGTTTTCTGACTACCCTGGACCGATAAAAACGTTAATACCATCATTATATTCATGATCATTTATCGTGTGTCGGAATACATTTGGAAACAGACTTTAAGCATCTTTCTTCTAACATATGGAGCATGTGAAAATACTGTTCGTTCACGGCCAGTTCGTACGTTCACATGCGAATCACACGCGACTCGCCCTTCCGAGAAAACGACACAAAAGTATACCCTTCAAAACTATAAGAATGAGGTAAATATCCATCACCATTGAATGAATTAACTGCTCATATACCCCTAATCCGCATTGTGCGGCCTATTGGCCGCGTGATATGGGTCTTGGAAGTTTTACCTGACCCAAAATTGAAATAAATATTATTCCCATGTCAGATTTTCGGTGCAAACAAGGTTTTTCATTTTTTTTTAAATATATTTTGAATTACGTTCCCTTACGCTTAGCAATAAAACTCAATGTGTTTTTTTTATCTTTGTTGGTTTGGCTTTTATTGAATGATTGTTCCTTATTTGATGTCAACATATGATATGTAGAACCAAGACGCAAAAAATTGGGAGGATAATACCCATAAGTCTTAACTCAGATCAATAGTACTTTACTATTATTCTCCAAAGTTGTTTTATTCTTGTTTTAAAAAAATACTAAAAAAAGTGAAGGAATAAAACCGTCACGAGACCAATTTATACCAGTATTAAATGGCTCGTAGAAACGTACGAGGGCAGCGCCAAAATTTCCGGCCCGAATATGACAGAAACAAAGTAGAATAACAGTTTTTTATCAGTTTTCAATATAATCCCCCTTAACTTTAATACACTTATTAAATCCCCAATCCCCTTAAAAAAATATTCTTTTGGTTGGTCTGCAAAATGAGCTAAAACAGCCTCTTTTAACTCAACTTCGTCCTTTTTCAAATATCCAAACAAATAATAGTCGCTGGGGGCCATGTCTGGACTATAGGGAGGATGATATATCTATTGGAACCCACACTCTTTGGAACGCACGCATCTGGTCAATTTTCCTAGACGTTTTACACGTATGCAGTCTCGCAATTTATGTAATAATTCCTTCACAATCCCAAAAGATCGTGGCCATCACCTTTTTTGTTGACTGGCAGACTCTGAATTTTCTTGGAGGTGCTTCACCCTTACGACGCTACTCCATTGATTCTTTTTTCGATAGAGATAGATAGTTTCATCTCCCGTCACAATAGTTTCTATTCTTCCGGCTTCGGTTCCGACCCACAGAGTTCCAAAAAAGACCGCGCACACTCGGCACGGCGTTATTTTTGAATAGCCGAACGGTTTTTAGGAACCCATCTTGCACTAACCTTATGCGTCCCTAAGTGATCATGCAGGATTCAACGAACACTTGTATCAGAAAGCTTCTGAGATTTCCTAGACCCTCGAAACGTCGATCACTCAATGCCACCTCTTCCACAATCGCAAGAATATCTTATGGCCTCCACTGGTCGACCAGTTCTTGAATCATCTTCACTACATAAAACGAAGGAGAACTTTGGCCGTATACAACATCCAGCCTTTCTTTAACAATTTTAGGTGCTAATCCTTCTTTTGTCAAAAACTTTATGACTGCTCTATACTCAATTTTTTCTAACACGTCTTGTTTAAAATGCTGTCAATAAAAATTATACAGGATATTCCGTAAAACCGGGCCAATTCAAAAATACATTTCTTAAAATCGCCTGTATTCTTGCACATTATGAGTCCAAATGAATGAATATTTGAATATTATCTACTTTTTTCCAAATAATTTACTTACATACACTGTTGACTATATTACTTTACAAAATTGTTAGCTTAATAGAAAAAAAACTTGAATATTACACACAGGGCATGTTTGACGAACAAATGGACATAAATCCGTAAACACTCCAGACAATAATAACACTAAATTGAGTGATTGAGTATGAAGGGGAGTATCTAGGTAGCAATCTAGAGAAAAAAAGACCGTTAACAGAGAAACAAGAATATTTGTGAAACACAGGTCTTTGGATAATGTTACGTGAAGCTTCATTCAAAAATCAATTCAAATTGCTCTCAGTAATGGAATGTAATGTATAACTCCCTCACATCTTATGTTCGATTTGTAGTCTTGTAATCTCAAGCTGCAGAAAGACCTTTCTTTTTCTAACCTTTTTCTAACATTGTTTATGCAATTAACTGGGATATTTTATATTCTTTTGCTGATATAAACATACCAGTTGACTTTCTTACGAATAATATGACTTATTTATTTGATATTCATGCTCCATTAAAAACAGTTAGAATTAAGAGACCACAGCTCCTTTGCTTACCTTAAACCTTTAATAAAACTTAAAAATATGTCACGTTTAAGATACAAACGTCTTAAGTCAGATATTGCTTTAAACGAGTATAGAGAATTGCGAAATTTTGTGAACTCATGTGTGAGAGCCGAGAAAAGGGCATATGTGGCAAGTACATTTACGGCTGATCCTAAAAATTTTTGGAGTACTTTGAGGAGACTTCAAATGCACAGTAATCCTACTGTAATGTTTGAAAACAATGAGGCCACCATAAAAGTTTTAATATTGCTTTTAATTGTTTTGGAGCTGTTGGTGTTTGAGTCTGCAAATTATATTAATTCGTTCCGCTTTTCGTTAAAGTTTACCCTGAGCAAGTGAATAAAACTAGAATAATATTAAAACTAACCCTCATGGCTCTGACAATATTGATATAAAAATGATTCTATTGACAAGTCCATATTCAGTCGACCACTTTCCTTGTTAACAAGTGTCTGCCGACCAAGGTTGTTCCGGACTCTTGGAAGCAAGCTGAAGTCATACCCGTTCCAAAGAAAGAGTGCCCAAGTGGCATTAACGATTTTAGACCAATAATTTTGTTGGCAACCATCTCAAAGATTATCGAAAAATTGCAGCTAAACAACTTCGTCAGTTCCTATGCGACAACAAAATCCTCCCAGACATTCAATCTGGTTTTCGATCTCTTCACAGCACTAATTCTACCTTGCTTCATGTAACTGATGATTTATTGAGAGCAGCGGATTCTAAATTAAACTCTTGTCTCATACTCTTGGACTATAGCAAAGTGTTCGACATCTTCTATCATTTCCTTCTCCTCGCTAAACTGAAATTCTTCGGGATAAGAGGTATTGCTCTTTCATTTTTTTTTTAATTTTCTTCGTCAGAGAAACCAAAAGTTAGTTTCCTATTCCTATTTCCTATTCTCTTATCAGTTTATACAGCTCACTTTTCTACTTTTCTTAAGTTTTGTAAATCTCATCAAAACGCCGATGATACTCAGTTATATTTATCTTTTGTTGCTAGTGAAGTTTTAAATGTCGCTACTAAAATAAATTTATATCTAAAAATAATTTGCAGCTCACAACCTCTTTTTGAATACTAACTAAACGCAGATGTTATTCTTTGCAAATAAAAGGGAAGATATTATAAAAAACGTCTCTTTGAAGATTAAGCTAAATGATGAAATTTTCTCTCCTTTTTCAGGCGGGTGCAAAAATTTAGGTTATGGTTTGACAGTGACTTGCGGTTTTCTAAGCATGTCAGCTCGCTGTTACAAAAATACTTGTATAAGTTGAGGATATTATATATTCATAAACATTTTGTGTGATATGTGATGTGATATGATAATTACCTTCTTCAAAGCTGCATAGTTATTGCTAAAACAAATTTTAAAAACTCTTTTGACTGGAAAGTGCATGATAAATTTCTACTATGCTCACATCTATTCGAGACTACTCTATGGTATTCCTTTTGGGAAAATTCAAGTCATGGGACATCTGTTTTCAAAACCCAAAAAAAAAGTTCCAAGGCGTAGTAGATAGTAGTGCAGGTCTCTCTTCCGGGAGTTTAAAATACTGCCTTTAGCGTGTATATACATATTAGAAGTTTGTTTATGGGTATATAAACATAAAAATACTATAATACACGTAACAAAGACTGTTTCTCCGTAAAAAAAATAGACTTGAATTTTCAAAAAAATATTTTACGAATACCGGTATTAGAGTCTACAATAGACTGTCCCCAGAGC